AGAATGAGAGGGAATATCTAGTTAATATCCAGTCATCTTACCTCCATTAATCTAGTCCGATGTAGTTGTGTATATAATCTCAAATTCTTATGTCATCTGTCTGTATATATACACATATGTTTTGATAGACTTATCGACAAAGTTACAGCCCGCTCCTGTGCCAGGTAAGTCCACTACGGGCTTACCATAGCCCGTGCTACTTGCCCCGCTCCTGTACCAGGTAAGTCCACTACGGGCTCACCATAGCCCGTGCTACCTGGAGCTTTTGTTCCCAGTAGCTGAATCTTAAACAACAACAACTGATAGATAGACTCATTGAAGAGATTTGGTTATAGCATGGTAACAAAAATTTGGCCTTTTATTATAATTTTCTCTTCTACCCCCCCCCCCCCCCCTTCCTTTCAACCATTCTCCCTCCCTCCTTGCTTGTCCATTTCCATGCAGGCGCGTGCTTACTCATCACCCCCACTCCCTCTGGAGGAACAATGAGTGATGAGTCAGTCACTCTTGTCGTCAACACACATTGGTATTCACTGTATGAAGGACTCGGTGATGACTCCCTCCCCTCTCTCTCTCTCTCTCTCTCTCTCTCTCTCTCTCTCTCTCTCTCTCTCTCTCTCTCTCTCTCTCTCTCTCTCTCTCTCTCTCTCTCTCTCTCTCTCTCTCTCTCTCTCTCTCTCTCTCTATGGTCTTCATTCCCCCTTCTCCTTCGCGCTTTCTCTCTTCTTCCTCTCATTCTCACTTCCTCCTCCTCTCCCTCTCTCTTTTCCTTACCACTTCCTCTCCTACCATTCTCTGCTTCCCTCTTCTTTATCACGCCCAGACCCCTCACACCCAGAACCCCCCCCCCCCTCAGGCAGGTGGCTCTTGAATAAAGAATTTGATTTGACTTGACAATTGGTTGTTTCAGCTGAGACTCCTCCTCCTCCACCTCCTATTCTTCCACCCTCACCACTACTACCACCCTCACCACCACCACTACCACCACCATTACCACCACCATCACTACAACCACCACCACCACTACCCTCATCACCACTACCACCACTAGCACCACTTCATGCTCCTGAAAGTTAAGCCCATCCCCAGGTTACCTTACCTTACCTTGAAGTGACGTAGTTACCTACCTACCTACCACCGCCAGGGGAGGCGTCGAAGATGGCGGGAATCCGTGGGTGGTGATCGGGCCGACTTGGCCCGCAGGTACAGGGACAACTTCGTTATACCTGGCAGCTCTCTTTGACACTAACTTTTTCCGAACGAGATTCGCCGTTTTGGGAGGAATTGCTGGCAATACCAAGTCTCCGGCGAGTATTACAGGCAGGCGGTGCTTGTGTGGTGGATGTTCTCTCTCTCTATTCCCTGCTTCTCGGTGCACATTTGTTCTGTAATTACACCTTGTAATGTTATTTTTTTGTCTGAGAACAAGTACCACTATTACACCAGCAACCATCGTCAGTAGCATCAATAATGACTGCCACCAGCGGCAGCACCATCATCACTACCACTTGCAACACCGTATCACCACCACTACCCCTGACCGCCATCACTACCCCTCACCGCCATCACTACCACTGGTAGAAGCATCACCACCCACCACCACCCACCACCATCACCACCCACCATCAACACTTCAGCACCACCAACCACCACCATCACTACCACTATTAGAAGCATCACCACCCACCACAATCACCACCATCACCACCCACCACCACCACCACCACCACCACCCACCACCACCACCACCACCACTACCCCTCACCGCCATCACTACCACTGGTAAAAGCATCACCACCCACCACAATCACCACCATCACCACCCACCACCACAATCACCACCCACCACCACCACCACCCACCACCACTCGCTACGACTTTTACAATTCGAAACTTTGCATTTCAATATGGGTAATTTCTCGACCCTCTTGATAATATATACAATATCTAGAGAAACCCACCAAACCTTTCCATCTGTGACTGATTTAAGTTTTAATTAATTATTCAATGAATTCCAAGAGATAGGGTCCCCCTCGGAGGCGACAGCTTGCAGATTTTAATATTTGGACGAACTCGAATTTGTCAGAGAAGCAAGAATAAAGTTTATCTGTTGCCTGTCTTACTTACTTTTCTTATTTCGTGTTTTTCTTTTAGTTGGTTTTATCTTTCTCCTTTTGCTGCGAAAATATGTCGTCGTTGAGAGAGAGAGAGAGAGAGAGAGAGAGAGAGAGAGAGAGAGAGAGAGAGAGAGAGAGAGAGAGAGAGAGAGAGAGAGAGAGAGAGAGAATTGTGTTTGTCATTAATGACAAAATAATGACCAACACTTCAGAAGTGGTTGAAGTGAGAGAATAACTTATTGATTATAAGTTGGTACTTCTACTTCGTTGTTGTATTAATGTTCCTTATCCCTTCTCTTCCACTTCCTCCCTTTATTCCCCCCTCCCTTCCCTCTTCCGTTCCCTTCTTTCCTCCCTGAGGCTGAACTCCCCTCCCCCTGCCTTCAGTAGCAATGACAATCTGAGGGAAGTCCGCGTGGGGAATTAGAATGAATTTTCCCCTCAAAATTTTGAAAGACAGAGGCGAGTTTTTTTTTTTTTTTTTATATATATATATATTTTTGAGTAGGAAGAAGGTGAGGGGAGGGCTGGGGAGGGGGGGGGTGTAGCTCCTCGGCGGGAAATATTATGGATTCAAAATTTACCTACCCTCAGTTTCCGAATTGATGCAGTCAGTGGACAGGGAGATATGTGCAGATAGTTTTTATCTTTTTTTGAGGGAGGGATGGCTCTCCGAAGTGTGCAGAGATTTTTTTTAATTCTTAAATTTTGCCCCGAGGGGCGAGTTTAATGGACAGCGTCACTCATCCTGTGAGTGGACACACCGCCATAGTGACAGTATTGGGCAGCGTCACTCATCCTGTGAGTGGACACACCGCCATAGGGACAGTATTGGGCAGCGCCACTCATCCTGTGAGTGGACACACCGCCATAGTGACAGTATTGGGCAGCGTCACTCATCCTGTGAGTGGACACACCGCCATAGTGACAGTATTGGGCAGCGCCACTCATCCTGTGAGTGGACACACCGCCATAGTGACGTATTGGGCAGCGCCACTCATCCTGTGAGTGGACACAAACCGCCATAGTGACAGTATTGGGCAGCGTCACTCATCCTGTGAGTAGACACACCGCCATAGGGACAGTATTGGGCAGCGCCACTCATCCTGTGAGTGGACACACCGCCATAGTGACAGTATTGGGCAGCGTCACTCATCCTGTGAGTGGACACACCGCCAGAGCAGCATGTACAACACTCCCTACTAGGAAGAAAACCCGCCGGGTTGTTCATCCTGTCGCTTGTACCCAGACACAGCTGGGACTTGCTTAACTGTCTCAGGTGAACAGCTTATCAAGCAAGATTAACATCTGTTAACCCTTAAAATCTTACGTTATCATGCGGGTGCAAAATGGGGGAATCTTTTAAGAACAGTATCAATATTTGACAAATAGTGTACAAACTCAAATAATGTGGGGTTTATTATGCTACACATATTTCTAATGTCTCTCAGGGGTTCACATTCTCGTAGACAGTGGTCAAGGCGGTGTCCGTCACTCTCACCACAGATTCTGCAACTCCGCTGCTCAACTGTTGTTTCCTTTCCGAATCTCCATGGATATTTGTATCTAAGACGGATTCTCGCTATTACTGATTCTCTCCCGCGGCCACTCCCTCTTCGTCCATAATAACTGGAATAGCCAGCTTCAACCACATTGTACCAGCGTACAGATTCACTGACTTGTGCTTCTATTCTTCTTCCCTCAGTTATCTTGTCACGGTGATGTTGCCTGATAATACCAGTAATTTGCAGAAGAGTCTTGGGTATGAAGCATTCAATATGGTCACCTTCAGCGCCTTCAGCAGCCAGCACATCTGCAGAGATGTGTGCGTGTGTGAGAGTGATGAACGCGTGCCGCCACACTCCCACACACTCACAACATGCTCATACGCTCTCTCACCACTCTCACCCTCTCTCTTTCCCTCCTCTTCTCTCAAACTCTTCCCCCCTCCCCCAATCCCCTCACAACCTTTTTGCCAGGCCCTTTCTTAGGGGCCGGGCGGATGAGTAGACAGTGCTCCCTATTCGTAGTCCTAGGGGGTCCGGGTTCGATCCCCGGCGAAGGCGGAAATACCCCTCCCCTCTCAACACTCTCAACCTCCTCCTTCCATTATCAACATTTTCCTTTTTCTCCTCTTTCTTCTCCCTCTCCTTCACTAACCCCCCTTCTTCTCTTCGCCTTCTTCCCTTCTCCTGTGAAACATAATAATATAGAGTCATACTCCGGCGTCACTGACAATTGAGTTTACTCTCCCTAAACCTCCTTCCTGGCCCTGATCCCGAGTTCGGCGAGGCGCAGCGGGGCTGATCACACTCGTGCCCAAGTTGAGATGTAGTTTCATTAATTTTGAGAGACCGAGCACCTGCAAACTGAGTTACTGGTGCAGGTGTCGCGCTTGTGATGCAAACTGAGTTACTGGTGCAGGTGTCGCGCTTGTGAGGGACCGAGCACCTGCAAACTGAGTTACTGGTGCAGATGTGAGGGACCAAGCACCTGCAAACTGAGTTACTGGTGCAGGTGTCGCGCTTGTGAGGGACCGAGCACCTGCAAACTGAGTTACTGGTGCAGGTGTCGCGCTTGTGAGGGACCGAGCACTTCTAAAGGATGGTGTACGCACACTTCTCGCACTTGTACTTTGTTGTTCTTCGTCTCTCTCTTACTTGTTCGCCTCTTTGGTTTATTTAGTTTGTATTTTTTTTAGTTTGTATCTTCGAGAGGTTAAAGAAAATATTGTACGTGGATCGAACTGCATTAAAACCCTCGATTTCTTCGCTTGCCTTAATTAAGAGTCCTGTGAGCTGTCCGCTCAGCTACCAAACCCCCATTGTGTGTGTGTGTTACACTGTCCCTGAGCTAATCCATGCCGTTTTCCCTCCTCCACAGTGTGGTCGCAGCCGGGAGTGGTGGTGCCTCCACCCGACGACTCTGACATCCAGGACTACGATTACGACTACGAAGAAAGTGCCAACACTTCTGATGTGTGAGTATCCCTACACACACACACACACACACACACACACACACACACACACACACACACACACACACACACATACACACACACACACACACACACACACACACACACACACACACACACACACACACACACACACACACACACACACACACACACACACACACACACACACACACACACACACACACACACACACAACTAAAACAAACTTGAGCACTTGTAGCAACAGTCTGTTGGACCAAAAGTTATCACAAGTCAAGCCTGGCCATAACTCGGGTTGTAGAACAACTCCCAGAAACCATTCCAGGTACACTCCAGGTAGAGTTTCGCTCAGAGTCAGGTAAACACTGATAGGAAAAAAACCTTCAGGCCCTAACCAGATATTTTCTGCATATTATAAAAGTCAAAGCTTAAACGTCCTTAGTCAAGCATCATCAACAAATTCCTGGAAGTGAGCAACTTAGCGCTTTGTTGAATAAGTTGATTTAAGTTGAATAAATGGTTGTACAAAAGAACGATTATGTTTGACAAATTTACTTCCGCTCTTTATCAAACGCAATTGAAGGAGCAGACTATTGTATAGAGTAGCAAGTGCGTAGACTTTAGTGAGGAATTGCATATAATATTTTACTGTAAGCAGAGGCGTATGGCATTGTATATTAACGAAAATAATATTTATGTAAAGGATGGGGTACAGTTTTCCAGTACCAGGTAGAGATTTGTCAAAGGAGCCTCCAGGACGGTGCCATTTAAAGCTGTACCGAAGGAGCCTCCAGGAGAGTACCAGGTAAAGCTGTACCAAAGGAGCCTCCATGAGAGTACCAGGTAAAGCTGTACCAAAGGAGCCTCCAGGAGAGTACCAGTAAAGCTGTACCAAAGGAGCCTCCATGAGAGTACCAGGTAAAGCTGTACCAAAGGAGCCTCCATGAGAGTACCAGTAAAGCTGTACCAAAGGAGCCTCCATGAGAGTACCAGGTAAAGCTGTACCAAAGGAGCCTCCATGAGAGTACCAGGTAAAGCTGTACCAAAGGAGCCTCCATGAGAGTACCAGGTAAAGCTGTACCAAAGGAGCCTCCAGGAGAGTACCAGGTAAAGCTGTACCAAAGGAGCCTCCATGAGAGTACCCGGTAAAGCTGTACCGAAGGAGCCTCCATGAGAGTACCAGTAAAGCTGTACCAAAGGAGCCTCCATGAGAGTACCAGGTAAAGCTGTACCAAAGGAGCCTCCATGAGAGTACCAGGTAAAGCTGTACCGAAGGAGCCTCCATGAGAGTACCAGGTAAAGCTGTACCAAAGGAGCCTCCATGAGATTACCAGTAAAGCTGTACCAAAGGAGCCTCCATGAGAGTAAAGCTGTACCAAAGGAGCCTCCATGAGAGTACCAGGTAAAGCTGTACCAAAGGAGCCTCCAGGAGAGTACCAGTAAAGCTGTACCAAAGGAGCCTCCATGAGAGTACCCGGTAAAGCTGTACCGAAGGAGCCTCCATGAGAGTACCAGTAAAGCTGTACCAAAGGAGCCTCCATGAGAGTACCAGTAAAGCTGTACCAAAGGAGCCTCCATGAGAGTACCCGTAAAGCTGTACCGAAGAGCCTCCATGAGAGTACCAGGTAAAGCTGTACCGAAGGAGCCTCCATGAGAGTACCAGTAAAGCTGTACCAAAGGAGCCTCCATGAGAGTACCAGTAAAGCTGTACCGAAGGAGCCTCCATGAGAGTACCAGTAAAGCTGTACCGAAGGAGCTTCCAGAACAGTACCAGGAAAAGCTATACCAAAGAAGTCACCAGCAGAGTATCATATACTGTGTCTCAATGCAAACCCGAGACTACACAGCTAAACCAGTGGCCGAGAGCTCTGGCTCGGTCAGGTTCCTCCTTCCAGTAAGTGCTGATCACATTCAGCCAACGCACACACCTCAAAGCAAATCTATTCATTAATTAATCTGCCGTGGCTTTGATATCGGCTCTTCAAAGCCAGCTGTGCGCGCCTCCTCCTACCTTTAACTGATATGAGTTTTCTCTCGCCTGTTTTGAGAGATGTGGCATTTCGTTCCAAAAGGCGAGTGGACGTGCGAGGGGCTTGGAGTCTAGCATAGTTACCCATTACTGTAAAGTGTTTCAGTTTTCTGTAATTTTGACTGTATACATTTTCTTTATTCCTCAGTTTTTATGGCTACCTATCGTTTTTGTGCTTGGCCAAATTCATACAAATTTACTTACAATAAACAAATATTAATTGTATTTAATAAAAAATGTGAGAATATTTATCCAGACAGTAGTAATAGTGATATTTTCGCTCTGGTGCATCGTTATTTTACTAGATAAGAAGGCGCTTCGTCTTGTCCAGGCAAATATAACAGTTCTTGTCCTGCTCCTGTGCCAGGTAAGTCCACCATGGGCTCACCATAGCCCGTGCTACTTGGAACTTTTGTTCTGAGTGGCTGAATCTAATTCTGTGGCTGGGGATGGTTTGACGGTACACTCCCGTCATCCGCCGGTAGAATAAGGCCAAGGAGACAGGAGATAGATAGAGAGATAGAGAGAGAGAGAGAGAGAGAGAGAGAGAGAGAGAGAGAGAGAGAGAGAGGGAGAGAGAGGAGAGCAAGAGACAGAGAGATGAGGGGGGGAGCAGACAGACAGACAGACAGACCAACCAATCAGAAAAGAGGGGTATCGAACTGTGTCGACTTTCAACGATGCATTGCCCACTGTGAGGGGGAGGGGGGAAGGGAGAGGCATATTCCATTGTCAAAGAGATTATTAGTCTATTTTTTATTTTGTTTGCTCTATTATCGCGGATTTTTTTTTTAATATCACGATCTTGATAAATATGAAGTATTACTACAGTTATTATTTAACATCGGTCGAATTTAACTTAGGTAGCACTGAGGAGTAATTGCCCCATTCAGGCTGAATGAGGTTGATTAGTTTGGTTCAAAAGTATACAAAATGCATTTTTGATGCAAAAGTATACAAGATGCATCTTTTTATACAAAACTATACAAAATGCATTAAAAATTCGTACGCAATTTATTATTATGAGAATTATGGCTGGTTGTACAATTCTGGCCACATGGAATGGAATTATGTTAGAGATACAATGAACTTGTCATTGCGAAGGAGATAACAGGTAGTTAAGGTGAGGCGAGAAGTGAGATGAGGGGTCATTGGAGGGGATAAGATCAGAGAGGAGTGTGTGTGTGTGTCAGAATTACTGGCTCTTCGTTAAGTGGGTTGATTACATTGTGTCTCTCTCTCTCTCTCAAGTTCAAGTATGTTTATTGAGACAAAAAAAGAAATACATCTCAAAGGGATAGAGTAGCTTAGACTATTTCTAACCCTCATCTCTCTCTCTCTCTCTCTCTCTCTCTCTCTCTCTCTCTCTCTCTCTCTCTCTCTCTCTCTCTCTCTCTCTCTCTCTCTCTCTCTCTCTCTCTCTCTCTCTCTCTCTCTCTCCAACCTCTGATCCGGATAGTATTAAAGTTACTTGTAATCTCTCGTTGCAATAGCTGGGAAATATGCAGGTGTATGCGCTCGTAGTTAGGATGATACTGACAGGATGGGGAGACGTAGCATAAGAGGAAGCTAGGGGAAGAGGTGTGCTTTATATGTGTGTTCTTACCTACATGTTCCAGTGGGAATGTGTACGCAGTTGAACTTACCTAGTTTCACTTGTGAGGGATGCGTTACAGTTCTTCAGTCCCGTCTCTTAATCGTTAACCGATTGGTGTATAGGTTCCAGAGGCCTATAGGTTCCATAAGTCTAAATTTGAAGTTGTTTATGGAGTCTACCTCCACCACTTCCAATCTTAGCGCTTTTCAATTGTTATCTATTCTCAATGACATAAATTATTTACAATATTACTGTAGTTCTTTTGCGTATTTTGTTTCTGCCTAAATTCCTGTGTCTTCTTGTTCGAGTACCTTGTTGAAATGTGTGTGTGTGTGTGTGTGTGTGTGTGTGTGTGTGTGTGTGTGTGTGTGTGTGTGTGTGTGTGTGTGTGTGTGAGAGTAAATGAGCGTGGTGACACACTACCTCGCAAGAAGCTGTGGAAAAACGCGTCTTAACACCTTTATACACCCGAACGTGACACCCAACGCGAGCTCTTGGGGCTTCTTCCTTTAGTGCCCCTCTCTCTCTCTCTCTCTCAACTAAGACTAGGGGGTCATTAGGGCCACTGAGGTTCCACTGCCACGAATAACCGCCGCCATTAACCATCACCAAATGCAACGTTGATCAAAAATTACCTTTTAACCCACATATGGTTCCCTCTCCCTGCACATCATTGTCGCTAAATATATTTAGCGGCTCAAGTTAACATGGTCGCCTGTGTTCATCGGGAAGACATTTTCCCTGGCCTTGAAGGCGCCCGCCACGCAGCAGCAGCAGCTTGGTTTGACCTTCAGGGACAGGAATTTGGCGCTGTAACCTAAGATAATCCGAGTCGGATTCAATTCCAGCTGAAAATATCACATTCGCGCGGCCTGCAGCTGCAGTCGCTGACACACACACTGTAAACAACCTGTTTCCAAAAAATTAAGCGAGACGAATCGATTGCAAGATGTGGTGGTCCGCGGTTCATTTACTGGTTCCGAAACTTTGCTTCTAGAAAGATATTAGTAAAAATAACGTGGCTGAAGAATGCTGACCAGATCACACACTAGAAGGTGAAAGGACGACGACGTTTCGGTCCGTCCTGGACCATTCTCAAGTCAATTATCTTAACTTTCATTCACAATCGACTTGAGAATAGTCCAGGACGGACCGAAACGTCGTCGTCCCTTCACCTTCTAGTGTGTGGTCTGGTCAACATATTAGTAAAAGTACCTGTGAGTTGAGTCCCAGGAAGTTAATTGTAAATCTGCTCATTCTACTGATGCTTTACCGCTCTGTGCAGGAGCAACATCCCTGGCGTGAGGAAGCAACGTGCCTACTTACGTGGGAGTTGGTCTGAAGGTGAGCCACGACCTTGTGCTACTCACGTGGGAGTTAATTGTCCTGACA